TGCTAGAACAGGTGACCAAGAGGATTTGGAGGTTTTCTGATTAAACTTTTACCTTTAGCCACGAGAAAATAAAAGCTAACATGAATATCACCTGATGGAAATTCCTTTATGGTTCATGTTCCTATTGGTAGGAGTCCAATTTCCCCATTTCACTTTTGATCAGTGGTAATTAGAACTCAGAAAACCACAGTTAGAACTCTTGGGCTGTCTTCCATCAGTTGTGTTCCTGACCCCATCATCCAAACTGATTGAATTCGGCCTGACATTTGTTTCAAGGCCAGAAATTTCTACATTTGATTGAGCTTCCATGTTATCTGTGGAATTTGTGTCTCAAGCCTCCTCACACTAGGAGAATCTTGTTGTAATCCACACTGGACCGGATAATGGTATTTCAGAGGATTGCTAAGTCTTTCAACTCTTACTTTCCTTTGTTATCCATGCCAACATTATCTAAATACTGTGTTTGCTACACTAGAATTTCTTTGTTCACATGAGTAAAACTAAAGCAATAATGGTACTGTCAAGTATCAGAGGTAGTTTGAACAAGTCTTAAAATGGTGATCCAGGCTTCACTGGGTTGAACTAGAGGTTCTTGTGGTCCCTTCCAACCTAAGATTTGCTGCCAGCAGGGGAATGCACCTTCACTTGGTTTCTCCTATAGCTCTTCAGACCTTATGAAACTCTGCCAGAACGTAGATGTTCCAGAATAGAGGATGGGGAGCTACACATGGTAGAGCAGTGGTTCTGAACCTTTGTATCCCCACATGTTTTGGCCTTCCAGAAATCCTAACAGCTAGTAAACTGGCTGGGATTTCTGGGAGTTGTAAGCCAAAACACCTAGGAACCCACAAGCTAAGAACCAGTTTGGTAGAGGGATTGGAAGTGGGGAGGTGGACAGTTTTCTCTTCCATGAACAGCACAATTTTTTAAGCCAGTGGTTCTCAGCCAGTCTACCAGCTGTTAGGATTTCTGGGAGTTTAAGGCCAAAACATCTGGGGGCCCACAGGTTGAGAACCACTGCTTTAACCTACAATAGAACCCAGTCCTATATCCATTAATTGGAAACCTTTTTACCGTTTTAAATATCCAGACCCCATTGTCTAAATCAAGAGATGTAGGCAATGGGCTTAATGACAAAAGCAAATCATTGTTCTTTCTGGAAGAGTTCCAGTTAAAAACCTCAGTCTCAATTTAGCGTAAGCATTGATACCAGCAATATTCATAGAGATTTGAGCTCAACACAAAGTATAGCTTGGCTATTAAAGCTCTCATAATGTTATACCTTCAAAAAGTTACTTTTCTAGACAGTGGACTTCTGTTCTCTGAACAGAGGATATTTCACACGTGGGTAGGTGGGAACTCAATCACAAGAAAAATACAAATTGTTTTCTTTTAGTATGGAATTGTCGAATGTACTGCATAGATATGGTTGGTGCTGTTGCAAGCAGATGTATAGGCAGCCCAAGTTTACATTTCTTTTTGACGTAAATCCTTTCTGAGAATTTTAAAATGCCTGTCTCCTTGGAGAAAGTATTTTGTGCCAGGCAAGCACCATGTTAAGGTGTCTTTCATTGGGCACGACAAGGATGTAGGTAGGACGCCTACAGCATAGTGACTTTGGGATGTTTCTTTTTGCTATTTAAAATACTGTGTCTCTGTCAAGAGGAAATATTACACTAGAGTTTAAACCAGTAAAGGTCAAAGGTTATTTGTTTTCAGTGAGCTGTAACTGATGGCCTGATCTGCTTAGAGGTGGGATTAACCTCCCTCTCCCTCAGAAGAGACTTGCAGAGAATTGCTTGCTCGGGTTTTTAATCTTATTTTACCCCCCAATGCCATGTGGTAGAGAAGGTTCTTGTGGCCGTCGAATCAGTTGAAAAGCTGGTAGATCACACAAGAAGCCTCTGAATGAAGGCGGAATTGAAACAGGAAAATAAAGAAAACAGCAGGCAGGTCACCATCTCAGGAAAACCACATTCATTCTCAGTCATGCACATCCTAACACTTTTGACGGCAATTTATCATGGAAGACTGGGTTCACCGCAAGGGCTCGCACATGTCATAGGTTAAATCAGAAAAGGCAATCCCAAAAGGAAACTTCAAAGTTCCTTAATGCACAGAGTTAAACATGTTGAGAAAAGCTTTTACCGTGTTTGTTAGAAAGACAGGAGGTAAACAGTCAGCCAGAAGAATTTCATCAAACTGCTGTGGGAGTGTTTGTTTTGCCTTTAAAAAGCAGCACTGCGCTGCACACTTGGCACTGAAGAAGGTGTGGGACAGATACACAGGAAGGCATGTGCTGATGATCTCCCAGGCCGCCTTCCATGTTTAATTCCTGGTTGGTATGCCCGGTCCTATCAGAGCAAATTCCAGAAGAATAGCCATGCTAATCCAACACAAAAACAATAAGAAAAATAATTCCTGACTCCTCCCTTTCCGCCTCCCTTACTGTTTTAACTTAAAAGATTTTCTAAGATGCTTACATATCCTATGAAATCACAAGGGATTGGCACTAGACAGTAATTATATTATTGGAGCGTGATATACTGTACAGTGATGAATTCAGTAGTATTTCTTACACTGGGAAAGTCTACTATATGTTCAGAATAAGATTAATAACTTTATTAAAAGCACCATCATTCTGCAAAACCTCTTGTTTTGTCAACTTTGGACTGCTCAGTTTCTGTGCTTTCTAGGTGTTTCTTTAGAAATCAAATGGTTGTTCTGTAGTGTAGAATAATAATTTGGCATTTAATAAGAATTCCTGCTTTTTAGCAATTATGATATAAAATGAATATTCATATGAAATAGACTATAATAGCTAATTGGAAAGAAGCAAATATGCTGTGATACATAGAAAATAATTCAGTGTTTTCTGTGTCAAATTAAGATTTTAGGTCAGGACTCTTTCACTTGCTTTATCTTGTGTGAGCCACTTTATGTTCACAAGGTAGCTTTAGACTGCAATTCGATGTTTTGTTCTTCATTTTCATTTTCAGTAGCATTCTTACTGCCTGACAAGTGCAAGGGGCGGGCAGAAGGTAAATTGGGATTTACTGACAATCACTGGGTGATCTGCAGTGTATCAGGAAGGTGTTTTGTATTTTTGTTTTTACTCTGGACTGTTTAGCAATAGCAACAAAGGGCTCCCCCACCCCAAGCAAGGCTAATTGTAGGAATTCAGATGTGGGCTTTCATCGTCTGCAAACGTCTTTGTAGGTTGTGTGTCATGGGGCTCTGTATCAATGACTAGGGAAGACAAGCTGAACTCATCTCTTGTTGGTGGGTTTCCAGTAGGCATCAGGTTGGCTGTGCAGACTGAATGCTGAACTAGAGAAGCATTTGTTTTGTGATCGACAGAGCTTTTCCTATGCCCACACTTGTACTGACTTGGAGAGAAGGGATAACTATTAATGGGTATCTTTATTCACTCAAGAAGGACAGTTGCAAATTTCTAGAGAAGCAGTTCCTTCTATTACAAGAAACAGAGATCTGTCAGGAAGAAAAGAGAGACATTGGTGGTGAATCTGCAGTCTTCTCTGTCTTACAGGTCAGGATGGTAACAAAGCACATGTTACTGTCCCTTTGGCATAGGGTGCAATTATTTAGATATATTGCGTTGCCCAGGGGACACCTGGATGTTTACCATCCTGTGGGAGGCTTCTCTCATGTCCCTGCATGGGAAACTGGAGCTGACAGATGGGAGCTCACCCCGCTCCCCAAAGTCGAACTGCCGACTTTCAGGTCAGCAGTTCAGCTGGCACAAGGATTTAACCTATTACGCTACCGCCGCTCCTAGAGACGACAATGACACTACCTATCACTCCTACCATCCATTAAAGCACCAGATCATATATGATTCTTGGAGGCTAATCAAGGTCGGCTCTTGTTAACACTCAGATAGGAGACTGCTAAAGCATACCAGGTACTATAGGTTATGTTTCAGGGGGAGGAACTTGCAAATCATCTCGAGTATGCCTTGGCTATGAAATTCTGTGAAAAATCTATGAAGTTAACATACCTACAAGACACAGGGACATACAGTCTCCTGGCCCAGGCTACTTAATTTGAACTCTAGAAGTTGATTACCTCTGCATTCATACATTTGTAAACCATCCACCATCTATGCAGAAATTTTACAAACCTCCCAAATTTTGGCACTCCAAGCAAAAAGCCACCAATTATAATCAAAGCTCAAATGATTTTCTTAGCACTTGGAGAGGTCTAGAGAGCTGAGAGATCATTTGGAGCACATATGGGTAATTCAGAGGAGTAACGAGTGAACCCAGCCATGTGAAGTCTGCTGATATGGCACGGTATTCAGATCTGTTCATTGATCATATGCATTGAGCTTTTGCATTTGAAAACACAATGAGGACTATGAATTTTTTAAATGTCAGGAGTGACTTGAGAAACTGCAAGTCACTTCTGGTGAGAGAATTGGCCGTCTGCAAGGACGTTGCTCAGGGGACACCCACGTGTTTGATGTTTTACCATCCTTGTTGGGAGGCTTCTCTCATGTCCCCACATGGAGAATTGGAGCTGACAGGGAGCTCAACTTACTCTCCCTGGATTCGAACCACTGATTGGTCAGCAGTCCTGTCCGTACAAGGGTTTAACTCATTACACCACCAGGGGCTCCCATAAATCATCGCTCATTGAGCCCCCAGTGGCACATTGAGTTAAACCCATGTACCAGCAGGATTGAAGACCATCAGGTCACAGGTTCGAATCTGGGAAGAGCACAGATGAACTCCCTGTGTCAGCTCCAACTCCCCATGTGGGGACATGAGAGAAGCCTCCCACAAGGATGGTAAAACATCAAAACACCCGGGTGTCCCATGGGCAACGTCCTTGCAATTTCTCATGTCGCTCCCGACACGCACAAAAATCAATCATATGATTTGACTTAATTATTTTCTAAGGAACTTTTGATTGCTTATACAACTTTATTCTGCATTTTCTAAAGAAATTTTGTCATTCTCTTCCATTTTATACAGGATTGTTTACGAGCCTGCCAAGAACAGATCGAGTCCCTCCTTGAATCTAGTCTACGCCAAGCACAACAACACAACATATCTTCAGAAACAAAGACTGTTGAAGATGAAGCTGATCTTTCCTGCACACCCACTGATGTTAGAGATGTGAATATTTAAGGAGGACTTCAGCGTTGGGGTTTGCTTGGCTGTACCAGCAAACAGAGAACGAATGAACGAACGAACGAAAGAAAGAAAGAAAGGGCATCTAAGAAGGAATCGGAATCATAATCTTCTCCCCCAAGAAACTTTTTCTCCAGGACTTTTTGTACCAGAAGGGAAAATGTCATTAATTCTTTTCTTCGCTATTCCTTCCTACCCTTCGTGACTTTAACAAGGCAACCCCCACCCTTTCCCCCAACTGTCTTAAAAAAAAGAAAAAAATAGTATTTGCATGATTTCAAGGGGTTCGCGCTACAAACATAGAAGACTTTGTGCAACAATAATCAACTAGAATTTTGGGGTTTTTTATATTAAAAGTGTTTTTGTCTGTATGTTGTAAGAATAGGCATTAACACACATACATGCGTACACACAGAAACAAAATCTCTCTGGGGAGGAACACATATACATACATACGTACATACATACATACACAGGCACACAAAATCTCTCCGGGGAGGTATGTTTCTTGCATATTAAAAAAGCCAACCATTTTTAAAGTAGAAGAGGGTTTTTGTTTTTTGTTTTGTTTTTTAGATAGATTATATGTGTTTTGGGTGTGTGTGTTTTTTTTCCCTTTTAAAAGCATAGCTTTAATGCAGTTCTAGGCTTTTCTGTATCTTGCTTGCTTATGCATTTAGTCACTTTATAAGTCATCTGTAAATGTTTATTTTTATTCCCTTAGGTTGTTATCCTCTTCACCTTATCAATGGTTCATGTTAATCTTTACGTTAGTATGTTAGTATACAGCATTATGCGATGTTAGTCTCCTGTGCCTGTGGATTGCCTGTGCTGAAGGCTTCTTCTAGGGTCCCACCGGAGTGGGGCAAACAAAGACTCCCAACATACCGTTCCAATGGTAAAGAGAAATTGCAATAGTGACATAATATATTTGTGTGACCTTCCTATTTTCCTAGTTACCTGTGTATACAAAAAAACATGCTAGTTTTTACCCAAAAGATCCACTGCCTAATTATGTCCAGGTTCAATCCACAGCTTATCTTTTTTTAAGAAAAATGTTTTAAAACCATTCCATTTCAAAGCACTTTCAGTTCACTAGGTATAGGAAATATTTCCTTTTGTGTATGTGTGTGTGTGGGAATTTTTTCTTCTTCAAATGGAATGGTTTGGAAATTATATATATAAATATATAAATATATATATAAAGTGCTTGTGCGCAAACTCGGAATTGCAAAGCAAGTGCATTTAACTATGGTGTTGAGGAAAGGTGTGTTTCGGTTTTTGTTTTTTTCCTGAAGGTTGTGTTCCGGTGGGAGAAATTGCATTCACAAAATCGCCAGGATAGCTTCCTAACCTTTTCAGTAGAAAAAACATTTAGAAATCTTTTGGTGCCAATTCATATTTTTTAAAAAAAATAGAAATGTAGGGGCCTGAAAGGTATACCTATAGGACACACATTTTGAGAATTGTCTCTAGATGTTGTACAACTGAAGGCTGTTAAACACTAAAATATATAATTTATAGTTAAGGCTATAACAAATATTTATTGCAGAGGATTTCAGAAGGCCAGTATAATTTGTAAAAGAAATCACCCCCTTGATTCTGAGAAAGCAAACAGAAAAAAGATCTTTCCACCCTTGATGTTGCAGTTTAAACTCCTCTTACTTTAAGAAGCGAGAACAAGTCAAGATAATATGACATTTTGGCCCAGACACATTTCCAACATAACATTTAAAAATGAGGACGCGCCATAGTTGAAAGTGTAGAATTGGTGTACTTGAAAACAAAAGTTCTTAATCCAGTATATTTCCCTCTTTTTAAAAAAATTTAGCTACAAATAGAAAATTTGCACATCTTGGCTATGTATCTTTTTTTTTATTATTGTAGAAAGTAGCTGAAGGGACGTGGACATAGCTGTTGAAGTTGATGCTTGAGGAGAATGTGATGGCAAAATGTATGTGAGAAACTGCCGCTAAGGTGTTGATTGTAAAAAAAACAAAAACAAAAAAAAAGTTTTAAAAAGAAAAAAAAGGAGCGGAGGCTCCCATTTTTTTTTTTACCGAGCTGCTATGGATAAATTCCCAGCATGAGTTGAAAAAAATTAACATTGCTTCTCTGTATCTTTGTCATTGTGTTTTGCTGCTATTTTGTGGTCATTTTTTTGTTTATACAATGTCATATACTGCCATGTTATAGGTTTAAAATTTTCTCATAGAAAATTATATTATTGACATCTTTTTTTTGGTAGATTTTTTATGTGATCAATTTTACTTAATGTGATTACTGCTCTATTCCAAAAAAGGGTTCCTGTTCCACAATACCTCATACTTCAGTTAACCGTGTTTAGATCAGGTTTTAATGTTCCTTCACAATGCCTCACAGTTCTACTGCAAGCTGAAATGCATTTGGACATTATTCTGAATGGGTCTGGCAATTTGCAACTAGTTTGGGCTAATGTTTTAAGAAAAACAGCAGACATTTCAGAAGATTAAGTAATGTCAGGTTCTTTTGTTATGTGTTTTTATAAAATGGATTCTTTTTTTCTGATCTGGGGTTTATTATCATAGTAGTTTTAAGCTGTGTTATTAGCCACATTTGATATATGAAAGGTGCATTATGATAATAATTCTTATATGCCCTTTGATGTTTTCCATCAACCGGGAATCGTCATGCGGTATGATAGGTTATCTTCTGGAATTCTAAGTATTTTGTGTGTTTAATCTGTTATGATATATTAGGGGTTTTTTTTGTTGATGATGTTAATTATAGCATAATGCTAATTTAAGAAAGCAACAACCTGTAAATCTCATAAGTAAGCCAGCTAACTAAGTTGTATGGTGAAGAATAATCTAGTTGCCTGTATGCTGCTAAACCAAAACAGAATTAGAACTTCATTTTGAGGGCAAATGCAGTTAAGATCCTACCTAAAGCTTATTCAAATGGAAAAGACAACAGCCTTGTAATGCTACTATAGCAGTCGCAGGACCCAGGAGGACTGGATACATTCTGTCCAAATTTCAGGAACATTTCTTACTGCTTACCTCATAGACACCTCTGTATGTGGCATCTCTGTGTCTCTGAACCAAACAAGATTGTTGAGTTAGTGGTTGTTGGTTGTATTAGGTATTTCGCTGAGAAAGAGCAGCGTGTACTGCAAATTATTAAGTATTGTACGTACGAAAAAAGGCCAAATGCTGATAAGCAGGTTCACGTGCCAACAGAGATGCTTTATTTGTCACATTTGTTATAACGATCTATAGAAAGCAAAGCAATTCAGATTTGTACTTTTTATATATATATTGTACTTATTGGCATCACTGGTCTGAAATGCACAATGTCACAAACAGACCTGTAACAGATAAGTTTCCAGTAAAAGAAAAAAAAAAACCCTCCCCTAAAAGTCTAGAAATAAATTTGTAAAACCCAATGCTTGTGTTCTGTTTTTTTTTTTGTTCAAATGTTAAAAGATGTTGGTGAACCACATATGTGTCTGTGTGTGTGTTAGCTTGTAGTGCTCAGGGGCCAGGGAAGCCCTGGCCCTTGAGCGTTCCAGTTGGAGGTCAGCTGTGACTAGCAGTGCTGTAGAATTTTAAGAGGCACAAATGGAGGGTGAAAGAGAGAAACATGCCAAGAGGAAGGCGCGTCAAACCAACCCCGACCAGGACCGCCTTCCACTTGGAAACCAATGCCCTCACTGCGGGAGAAGATACAGATCAAGAATAGGGCTCCACAGTCACGTGTGGACCCACCACCAGTACACTGATCCTGGAAGACTATCCTACTCAGACAACAAGGGATCACCTAAGTAAGTAAGCTTAGTAGCTTACTCCTTGTAGGAGAGTCCAAGGGCAGGAAATTCAGTTTGGTGTCTCCAGTCTATTAAAACAAAAACAACAGAGCTGTTGAGTGAAGATTATTTTGTTAGGACTAAATGAGAAGTTGCTCATTCAGAATGTGATAGAATCAAAGTAAAATTCAAAATACTAGAACGTTTGCATTCCTTGAGAATTCTGCACAATTCATGTAACTCATATTTGATAGTATACAGCCATCTTGTATTCATTTTATCAGATCAAAGAAACATGATTGTTGGGCCACAACCACCATGTCAGACTACACAGAGAAGCTATTGAAATCAACAAGCATGTGTTCAATTTCAACAGAAAGGAGGAAACCATGAAAATGAACAAAATCTGGCTAACAGAATTTTAAAAACTACATTCAGGACAGTAAATAAAGAGCAACACACAAAAAATGGGAATTCCAGCCAGGAAACAATCTGTGCCGACTAACACCTTCCAACAAAGGATTCCCCAGACAGGAACCAGCCAGGCTTTGACACTGCAAGGCCATTCAGTGCTAATCAAGGTGGCCAACTGCAACATTCACACTTGCCTCAAGCAGACATTTTGTTCTTCCTCCCACCCTGGGCATTGCACAGATCTATAAACCTTACCTAGTTCCAACAAACCTCACAACCTCTGAGGATGCCTGCCATAGATGTAGGCGAAACATCAGAAGAGAATGCTTCTGGAACATGGCCATATAGCCTGGAAAACAGCAACACAATGTACAATTTGGTAAGAGAATGACAACAGAAATTTAGTGAAATGAGTGAGTGAGTGAGTGAGTGAGTGAATAATTAACAAACTGGGATATTGGAGTATGGAATAGGAGCTTCCCCACCATATTCCTGGCCACATATGCCTTCAGGTTCTGAAAGTAATATTTGTGAGGAGATCTATTACAATGGCCACAATATAGCCCTCTCTCTGAGAGGACCTCTCTTGCCCCTCACATCCCCCTCCCTGGTCATTTGCCCCAAAAAGAAAAAGGTAGATGCTACACAACAGTTTATGTTCATTGGGAAGCTGACAAAATGCAACAATGAAGGAGAGGTTCCAGGATCTGATGCAGTAGGACTCAAGGAAGGTTCTCAGTGGGTGCCTCCTAAAGCCAGTCCTGACATTGCCACTATTTTTACTCTCGGCTCCTAAATCCTTTCTATATTGTATTTCGCCATGTCTATTCCAGGTGAGCCTGGATTTGAGGCTAAGTGTCCCATTACAGAAACCAGACA